GAACTCGAAGCCTCCGTGGCCGAACCCTGCACAGCCAAAAAACCTTAGGGTTCAGTGTTTCAATTTCGGATTTCTGCGTAGAGTTGCTTGTCCCAAGGTAAAACCCGCTGCTCGTGGAATTGTTGAAGCCTAAAGTTTTGGGTGTCAGGGTTTGGGGTTTCGGGTTCAGGGGCCCTGAACCCCAAAGGCTTTGGGGCTCAGAGACTTGCTGACAGAAAGGACTGAAAGGACAGCACCTGGGCACCGCCGTCGCAAGGACCCGCTGCCTCAGCCCTTAACCCTAATCTCGATTCCAAAACCCAAAGCCCTAAACCTTGAATACCTCAATTTTCCCTAAGACCCTGAAGCCCCCAAAGCTCCAAACCTTAAAATCCTAAACCCCTAAACCCTAAACCCTAAGAAACTCGAACGAAGTCCGGCCCAACGCCAAACGCCGTAAAACCCTAAACCCTGAACACTGAACCCTGAACCCTAAACCCTAAACCCTAAACCCTAAACCCTAAACCCCGGAGGCGGCGGAGAGGGCCGCCAACCACTTTCGGCAGCTGGGCGGTGCGGACAATGTCATCCTACGCCGCTGGCGGGAACAAACAAGCCCCGGGGTTTAGGGTTTAGGGCTAGGGTTTAGGGCTAGGGTTTAGGGCTAGGGTTTAGGGTTTAGGGTTTGGGGTGTGGGGTTTGGGGTTTAGGGTTTGGGGTTTAGGGTTTGGGGTTTAGGGTTTAGGGTTTGGGGTTTGGGGTTTAGGGTTTAGGGTTTGGGGTTTGGGGTTTACGGTGTGGGGGTTTAGCGTTTGGGGGTTTAGCGTTTGGGGTTTAGGGTTTGGGGTTTAGGTTTTGGGGTTTAGGGTTTGGGGTTTAGGTTTTGGGGTTTAGGGTTTGGGGTTTGGGGTCTAGGGTTTAGGGTTTTGGGGTTTAGGGTTTGTGGGGTTTGGGGTTTGGGTTTAGGGTTTGGGGCAAGTTAGGTGTTGAGGGTTTGGGGGTTCAAGTTTACGTAGGTGTTCTGGGTTTGAAAGTTTCGGGTTTAGGGTTTGGGTGTCAAGGTTTGGGGCTTGGGTTTGGGTGTTTAATGGGTTGGAGGTTTGGGGTTTCGTGTTTCGGGTCGAGGGTTTTTGGGGATTAGGGTTTGGGGCCTATGGCTTGAGATTGATTAGAGTTTAGGGGTCAGGGTGTGGGATTTAGAATTCAGAGTTTACCGTTTAGGGGGTCAGTTTCTAGGGTTTTGCGGTGTAAGCTGACGTAGAGGTCTTTGCGTCTCGGGTTCAGAGGTTTTAGGGTTTAGGGTCGAGCCCTATGACTATTCCCTACTCAAAAATGGATCCAGCTACCCCTAGATCCTAAGCCCTAAACCCTAAACGCTAGTTAAGCCTTATTTGGTCTTTTGTTGGTAAGAGGTAGTTAGATTGGGAGGGGACTCGCACCGATCTCTGTGCCACTGCCTGAGCCACTCACTCTTGAGCCATAGACACCTAAGCTCTAAACCGTAACCCTCTTCAGATTAGAAAGTTATTCAGGGCCTTACCCTCCCAACCAAGCCTAAGCTCTATAAAACCTAAACCCTGTACCCTACCACCCTAGACCCGAACGCTAAGCCCTAAACCCGAACCTTCGGGTTTTTAGGGTTTTAGGGTGTACTGGTCAAAGCCCTGAACTCAGAGGGTTTAGGGTTTAGGGTCCCAGAACTCCGCACTTCAATTCTAAAGCTCTGATTCCTGAACCCTAAACTCTAAACCCTAAACGCTAAACCCTAAACCCTAAACCCAAAACCCTAAACCCTAAACCCTAAACCCTAAACCCTAAACCCTAAACCCTACACCCTACACCCTACACCCTACACCCTACACCCTACACCCTACACCCTAAACCCTAAACCCTAAACCCTAAACCCTAAACCCTAAACCCTAAACCCTACACCCTAAACCCTAAACCCTCCCACCTCTCAGATGGGGTTCGCCAAGCTTTGGCCATGGCTGGCGACGTGCGGCGCCACCCTCTCCCAGGAAGGAGGCCTTGGCTTTCTTCTGGCTGGCTCTTTTAGGGTTTAGGGTTCAGGGTTTAGGGTTTAGGGTTTAAGGTTTAGGGTTTAGGGTTTAGGTAGAAACTGCAATAAGGAGAGGGGTTCAGAAGTCAGCCAAGAGGACTGCCCTGGCCCTTTGAGGGCTGGGAGTTGCAGGGCTTTAGGATTTAGGGCTTAGGGGGTTTAGGGGGCTTAGGGGGTTTAGGGGTTTAGGGGGTTTATGGGTTTAGGGGGTTTAGGGGTTGAGGGTTGAGGGTTGAGGGTTTTGCTTTTTGTCAACCTAGGGTCCATCCGCCTGACGGCATGCCCTGCAGCTTCGAGAACCACTCCCCCCCCCCACCCCCCTCCCCCCCCCAACCCCGAAAACCCTGACCCTAAGAACCCTTAACCCCTAAAAAACTCAAAATTTAAGAGCCTCCGGCTCAAGCAGGGGCAACGGTTCAGGTGGTTCAGGGAAAAGGGCTCCTTGAGGGGGGGGGGGGGGGGGGGGGGCACAAAAATCACGTGACACACACTATTGAGGCGCGTCCGTCGCGAGGGAGCAGTCTTGGAATTGAAGCATTGCTTAGAGGTTCATGGTACTTAGAGGTTCATGGTACTAATTAACCAATTAGAACTGTACTTATAGCCATTAATAACCCACTTATAAGCCTCTTAAGTGCCCTAGCATGGTTACAAGTACAGTTATAATTAAGTACAGTTATAAGCGGTCAATAAGTACCATGCAAGTTCAAGTAGGCAAGCCGTTTTCTCGCTTACCTTGGGCTCCTACGATATGTCCGGTAGCATGAGGTAAGCAAATCTATCACGTAACTTGGACCCAAAAAAGTTCTGGCAGCAGTAAGATAGGCAAGTATTTGGGCTAACTGGACCTCCGAACTTTTTCCGGCGGCATAAGGTAGAACAAATTTCTCACGCAACCTGGACCAAAAAAGCTCTGGCAGCAGTAAGATGGGCAAGTTTCTGGGCCAACTGGAGCCCAAAATTCTCCCGGCAGCATGAGGTAGAGCAAATTGATCACCTAAATTGGACCCAAAACAAGTAAGATAGGCCTTTTTCTGGGCTAAAGAACCCGCAATTTTTCCGGTAGCATGAGGTAAGCAAATTTATTCCGTATCTTGGACCCAAAAAACTCTGGCAGCAGCACGATAGGCAAGGTGCTGGGCTAACAGGAGCAAATTTCGCACCTAACTTGGACCGAAAAAGATTCTGGCAGCAGTAAGATAGGCAATTTTCTGGGCTGAGCCGCAGTTTTTTGCCGGCAGCATGAGGTAAGCAAATTTTTCACTTAGTTTGGAGCCCAATTTTTCAGGCAGCATGAGTAAGCAAGTTTCTCACCTAACTTGGGTCCGAAATCATCTGGTGGCAGTAAGATAAACAAGTTCCTGGGCCAACTGTGGTTCCAAAAATTTTTCCGGCAGCATGAGGGAAGCAAATTCCTGGCCCAACTGGAACTCCAAGATTGTTCCTGGCAGCATCCGGCAAGCGCATTTCTGTGCCAATTTCGGCTCACACGTCTCGCGGTAACATGAAGTACACAAATTTCTCACCTAACTTGGGACCCAGACTTTGTCCAGCAGAAAAGGTCTGGTCTAAAGGGACTCGAAAATTCTGTGGCAGCATTAGGTCAGCAACTTTCTGGTCTGTCCAGAGTTTAAAGTTTGCCGTCATGGCCGGCGCTTCCACAGATAGAGCGGCAGGGGCCTCAGAAACGGATCACATGGAGCGCGTGGTTCATTCTGCCAAGTTTACTGCAGGGATCTCAGAAAGTCGAAAATAGTCTAGAATCCATAAATAGAAAATGGCCGCGAGCTTATACGCGTCTGATCTGCAACTCACATGTCGAACTTCGGGAGTCTTCAGAGCCGAGCACTTGCCATGGACTCTGGCCGCGGACAGAAACGCCCGTGTGAGTCGCACGAGGCTACTGCGCGGCGGCTAGTGCACGTGATGGGCCACCTTCCATGGTCACATGTGCAGGACACGGGCGCCAGGGTCGACGCGACGGAGGAGGTCGCTCGCGCATGTTGGACACATGCCTGCGCAGCCAAACTTGCATGGAAAGAAGAAACAAGGCAAACAGGACTCACAGAAGCTGCGTGAACTCGGAGGTCCAGGTGCGAGGGGCACGGAGAAGCAAGTTCGTGGTGTCTGCGCCGGTTCTGACAGGAGCTCCGCGACGCCACCGATGCGATGCTCCGCATTGCGGACGTCGCGACTGTATGCCTGTCAGAACGAGGACCGCTCGGGGCACGCAATGGTCCGTGAGGTGGGTCGCGGGTTGAACGGAATGCCGGGGAGGTCCAGAGAGTTGCCCCCACAGGCCAAGCAACGCCTGAGATTTTGGAGGTCCGTGGGGAGTCTTTAAGAAGTTTGAAAGAGGTCTGTCATGGGTCGGGGGTAGAAAGCAGAAAAGTCTAGGGAGGATCGAAGCCCCCTCCCCCCAAAACAACAAACAAACCAGCAAAGGCTTTTGTGGGAGTCGTCGATCCCAAGCTCGCGACACAAAACCCTAAAGGTTTGACAGGCGCGAGGGTCGCTTGGCAAAAGGTCGCTCTCTCAGGTCTAAAAGGGGGGTTCTCAGCGAGGTCGCAAAAAGAGCTTTGGAAGGTCTCGGGCGTGCCCTTAGCTGGGTCCCAGGGGTCCTCAAGGAAGGTCTATAGATTCTAAGGAGGGGATTCCCGCAAAAAAGGCTCTGAGCCCCGATTTTTTTGGGGGGGGTCCTACTATTTGGGATCTAGATTGGGGGGTCCCTATTTTCGGAAGCTCACCCATGTGCCGTGGTCCTTGAGTTTGCGCGGAGGGGGTTCCAGGTGGAACAAGCTGCCGGGGCACGGGCTGCTTTCTCCTTGAGCTGTCGAGCTTAGGGTTCTTAAGGGTTTAGGGTTCAGGGGTTAGATTGAGGGTTTAGATTGAGGGTTTAGGGCTTCAGGCAAACCCGGAGCCTGAAACCCTATGGCCCCACGTAGCGCCCGCCCGGACGAAGGTGCCCCATCAACACACTGGCGCCTGATCAACACCGAGGCTAGGGCTGAGGAGATGCTGAGGAGGGTTTAGGGTTTAGGGTTTAGGGTTTAAGCTTAGGGTTTAGGTTTAAGGTTTAGGGTTTCGGGTTTAGGGTTTAGGGAAGCGTTATGGCTAGGGGTTTAGGGGTTTGACCTTAGAAGCTACTGGTAAAACCCAACTAGGCCCTTAGCTCCAAACCCTGCCTTGACAGGCTTTTTTGCTCTTGGATTTCTCGGCTTCGGATGTCAATGTCCCGCGAGGAAGCTATAGGTTGGCGATAAGGGGGTTCACGAACATCAGGTACCCCCTTTTAGACCCCAAATAGACTAGAATCCCCTTCAAGGGACCCCCCCACAGAGGGCACTCCAATTTTTTATATATTCTATACTTTGCTTATTTGGGTTCATAGCGTGGCTCTCAGTGTTTTTCAAAGGGTTTAAAAGGCAAGTGGAGATAGGCGAGATGAGCAATGTGTCCCCGAAACATCACCTCCTCCCCGAGCCGGGGGGCGAAGTCCCTGGCCCTTGCTGCCAGGCCAAGGAGGTGTGGGTTTAGGGTTTAGGGTTTCAGGTTTAGGGTTTAGGGTTTTAGGGTTTAGGGTTTAGGGTTTCGGGTTTAGGGTTAGGGTTTCCCTCCACCAGACACAGTCCCTGCAGACGAAGTTGGGCAAAACTCCTGCCTCCGGGAATGCTTGCGAAGTGGCCAGTCAAGCCACGTCCGGGAGTGCATCTGCTTGAACACCGGGTGCTCAGCCTCATGGTTCTGAATGTCAGTCTGGCTTTTTGCATGCCAAATACTAGGCTAGGACCCGGAGCAGACCCTTGTTCACTTTCCTTAGGGTTTGGGCTCCCTTATGAGCCCCTCGAAACCAAAAGGGGCACTCTTTTTATTCCTAGGTTATTCTCGGGTCTAGTAAATCACCTTGTAGGACGGCTCTCCTGCTTAAGGAGGTCTCCTCAGAGAAGCCGCGCATACCCCCAAGCACTAAACCCTAAGCCCTACTTGGAGGTTCATGGGTACCTATGAGTAGGGTTGTAGGTACCCTAAATAAGGTTCTAAGTCTAGTTACCATACTTATAACCATACTTATAATTATCCATGAACCTCCCCCAAAGCCGAGGGTTTCGGGTTTAGCCCCATAAGCCCTAATCCCTAAGCCCTCTAAATCCTAACTTCTAAACCCTAAGCCCGAAGCCCCAAGTCCTTTAGATCTGAAACCCGAAGCCCCGCACCCCAGCAATTCAGGCTCGGTGGGTTTTATGGCTGCCGTAGCCTCGGTCTCGAACCCTAAACCTAAGCCCCAAACCGAAAGGTGTTTAGGGTTTAGGGCTAGGACTTGGGTCTATGAGGGCTTTCGGGAACACAGCCCTAAGCCCTAAACCCCAAACCTACAAGTGGCTCCCTAAAACCCCTAAACCCGACACCAAACCCTAAACCCTAGACCCTAAAACCCTCATAGACCCTAGCCCTAACCTCTAAACTCGAAACCCTAAACCCTAAGCCCTAACCCAAACCCTAAACCCCAAGTGGCCCCGGAGGCTGTGGAGCTGTCGTGGCGGGTGTCGTCGCTCCAGTTCTTCGAAGACAAGGCCAGGCGGTATGCTTTAATTCTATTTTTTTTGTTTGGGGGCGGGGTTTAGGGTTTGGGGTTCAGAGAACCCTAAACCCTAAACCCTAAACCCTAAACCCTAAACCCTAAACCCTAAACTCTAAGCTCTAAACCCGGAAGCCCTATGCTCCAAAGGACCAAAGTAAACCCTCAACCTCGAAGCTCGAAAGCTCCAAGAAGTTCAAAGCGCATACGAACCTTCAGAACCCCCCCCCCTGCCCCGGTACCCTCGAACCCTCAAACCCTAAAAAGTCACAAGTCCAGAAAATCCTTGATTAAGGACCCCCTATGACCTAAACCCTAAACCCTAAACCCCAAATCCCAAACCCTAACCCTAAACCCTAAACCCTAGACCCTAACCTCCCCAAACCCCAAACCCTAAACCCCAAATCCCAGACCCCAAACCCTAAACCCTAAACCCTAAACCCTGAAAAACATCCTCCCAGGACTGCCTTGAACCGATACCTGCGGTGGCGCAGACCGGCGCCGCCTTCGGCACGGAGGCGCCTTCACCTGGTACTCCAGGGTTTAGGGTTTAGGGTTTACGAGGGGTCCAGGGGTTTAGGGGTTCAGGGGTTCAGGGGTTCAGGGGTTTAGGGGTTTAGGGGTTTAGGGGTTTAGGGGTTTAGGGGTTTAGCGGTTAAGCACGGTTTGGGGATCTGGGGTTTACAGGGCTCTCTCGGGCTTCAGGGTTTTTGACTTCGGAAGGGCCAGGGTTTCTGGATTGAGGGTATTTAGGGTTTTGGGTTTAGGGTTTTGGGTTTTAGCATTGTTCAGAGTCTAGAGTTTAGGGTTTAGGGTTTCCCTACGAACCCAACCCCCCTAGGTTCCACCCTTAAATGACCTTAAATAGTCGCTTTATTATATTATCCCCAACTAGCCTCAATTGTGGGGGAACCTACGGAGGGGTAGTATAGAGGGGGGTACCCAAAGAGCCCAATATTGCTTAATTAAGGAATATACCTTAAATCATATTAAGGATCCCTATATGATTTAAGGAATATTCCTTAATTAAGCAATATTGGGCTCTTTGGGTAGTAGGGGAACCGTAAACCCTAAAGGGTTTCGGGGTCTGGTATCTTGGGGTGTTTTGGGTTTTGCGGACTTTGCTGGCCGTCGAACCCTAAACCCCAAACCCTAAACCACAAAGCGTAAGCCCGGAAGGCTAGCCCCTAAACTCTAACGAGCCAGCCCTACTTGTTGCTCAGTTGCATAGACGAGCTTCTGTGTTCGGAGTTTCGGGCTCAGGGGCTTCCGGGGTTTAGGGTTTAGGGCTAGGGTTTAGGGTTTAGGGTTTAGGGTTTCTGGGTTTAGGATTTTGGGGGTTCAGGGTTCGGGCTTTTGGGTTGTTCGAAGTTCGGTCTTTTGAGGGTTTACGGTTCAGGGTATAGGGTTTAGGGTTTCCCTTGTGAAAGTGACACCGCTACAGAAGGTACTCCCTCAATTCACGGACCCCGAACCCTCAGCCCCACCCGCTGCGGGTTTAGGGTTTAGGGTTTGGGGTTTAGGGTTTAGGGTTTAGGGTTTAGGGTTTAGGGTTTAGGGTTTAGGGCTACCCTCGTCGGGCCGCAAGTTTCCGAAGCCCCGATCCATCGACCGGTCTCCTGCAGAGGCCACTGAGCTGACGTCTGTAGATCATGCCTTTATGTCCGACGCCCGGAGGTGCTGAGTGTTTAGGGTTTAGGGTTTAGGGCTTTCAGGCGGAATTTATACACAGCAGCCCCATACAACGTCCACTGCAGAGCTCTGACATTGTGCATCCGAAACGTTTGAAAGGCCGGCGCGCTTTCTGAAGCTTCCCGAACCAAAGCTCAGCACCACTGACCCCAAACCAAAGCCCTAAACCCTAAACTTCGAAGCCTTACGATAGGTACCCTGATTACAAGGGGATCCTGCTATGTGGGGGTTTAATTTGGGGGATTCTTTTTATATATATATATATATTTATTTATTTATTTATTTATTTATCGTGAACCCTAACCCTCAACCCTCAACCCTCAACCCTCAACCCTCAACCCTCAACCCTCAACCCTCAACCCTCAACCCTCAGCCCTCAACCCTCAACCCTCAACACTTAATGCTGAACCCTCAACCCTGAACCCTGAACCCTGAACCCTAAACCCTAAACCCTGAACCCTGAACCCTTAACCCTTAACCCTAAACCCTAATCCCTAAACCCTAAACCCTAAACCCTAAACCCTAAACCCTAAACCCTAAACCCTAAACCCTAAACCCTAAACCCTAAACCCTAAACCCTAAACCCCAACCACGGAACTCCGAGGTTGAACACACCCCGGGGTTGGGAAGCTGCCAAGGAGTGCCCGCCAGAAGAGCGCCTGGGCAGTGACTTCTCATTCGGGGTTTAGGGTTTAGGGTTGAGGGTTTAGGGTTTAGGGTTTCGGGTTTCGGGTTTAGGGTTTAGGGTTTAGGGTTTAGGGTTGGGGGTTTAAGGGTCTATGGGGTTTTTACTGGTTCAAGACCCAATTTTTCCTCTCTTGGCCTCTATTAAGGTAGTCTTATTCTGAAAGTTCGAAATTTTACCCCATGGGCAGTTGGGAAGTAAGGGTTCAAGATTTCGAGTCTACAGGGTGTAGGGGTTTAAGGCCTTACGGGTCTGGAAGGTTTAGGGTTTCGTGTCTTGCGGGCTTAGGGTCTAGGGTTTCGGGTCTACGGGGTTTACGGTTTAGGGTTTAGGGTTTACGGTTTAAGGTTTAGGGTTTAGGGTCGAGGGCTTCATTTCAGGGCTCGGGTTTTACCGCGCCTCTTGTGTGAGCGACTAAAGCCTCAAAAACCGAAAGCCCTGCAACGCCTGATGGAAGCCCGAAGCCCTAAACCCCAAACCCTAAACTCTAAACCCTAAACCCTAAACCATAGACCCTAAACCCTAAGCCCTAAACTGACTATAGCCCTTATGTACACTTTATACATCAAGGGCCCATCGGTCGCTCCGGCTGAGGTGCCACCTGGGTTTCGCCTTCGCCACAGCGCGTGGCGTGGCGTGCCTGGTGCTGCAGCAGGGTGACATCGGGTCAGGGCCCCAGGGTTCAGGGTTTAGGGTTTGGGGTTTGGGGTTCAGGGTTTAGGGTTTAGGGCTTGGGGTTTGGGGTTTAGGGTTTAGGGTCTAGGGTTTAGGGGATTAGGACCCCAGGGGTTCAGGGGTTAGGGTTTGGGGTATAGGGTTTTGGGGTCAAGTGCCCCAGGGGTTTGGGGGTCAGGGGTTTTAGGGTTTGGAGTTGAGGGGTCAGGGCCTTCAGGGTCTTGGGTGTTCAGAAGACCGAAGAGAGCAACATCAAGAAAGCCGAGACCCCTCGTGCAGAAGAAGGCGCGGGGGCTTGAGAAGCAAAAGGCGAAGCAAGAGGAGCGATCCCTTGAGAAGCAGAGGGCAAAGCAAGAGGAACGATCCCAGAACTTTAACAATACCTTCGCCGTGAGTGCATCTTGGCTTGAGGATTTGCGTCAGACGACGCTTCCCAAGAACCCAAAGAGCCCAATATTGCTTAATGAAGGCATATTCCTTAAATCACATAGGGATCCTTAATATAATTTAAGGTATATTCCGAAGATTTCCTTAATTCAGCAATATTGGGCTCTTTGGGAATACCATCTTGTCGGAGCTTCACGGTGATCTCGCTACAAGACACGCTGACTATGAGAGCTTGGGTTTAGGGTTTAGGGTTTAGGGTTTAGGGTTTGGGGTTTAGGGTTTAGGGTTTAGGGTTTAGCCAAGAAGGGCGAGAAGGAGCTTCGTCTTGATGATGGATGGCAGCAATATCGCAGGGCAAGGCATTGTGGCCCGCGCAACTTTGGGTGGCGACCGTCTCAAGATGCAGGGTGGTGAAGTTTTCAGCGCCCTTTCGGCTACGGAGCTTGAGAATCGCCAGACCGCTCTGACTACTGAAGTGTGCGCTTGAGAGTTTAAGGCTAGGGGCGTTTTGCACTTGATCCCTAGTGGTTGCTTCTGATGATGGCACTGGCACAGAAGATCATCTCCACAAACCCTTCGCGCCAGTTCAGAAGAAGTGAGCACAAACTGCCTTGATCTTTGCAGTTTAGGGCCCTAGGGTTTACGGACTATGGGATTCTTGCGGGTGGTATTTCTCCAACGCTCGATAAAATGTTTGAGCTGTGAATGTTGGGACTTGAGATGCTGAACCTTAAATCCAAAATCCTAAGCCGTTAAACCCTAGATCCTAATCCCTAAAGCCCAAAAAGCCCTGATCCTTAAACCACCCAAGCCCTAAATCACCAAAACCCTAAGCCCTAACCCCTAAATTCCCAAATCCCTAAAGCCCTAAAAACCCTAGAGTAAACTCCAGAAAGTTGGAACATGGTCTAAGGACGATTGGAGCTGGGATTCCCCTTAGTTTACCTCTTCGCGTATGAGGATAAGGATGTTCCAAGTTTCTGGAATTTACTGAAAGCCTTACACAATGAAACCGAAACCCGAAACCCCAAAACCCTAAACCCAGCAAACCCTAAGCCCTAAAGCCCTAAACTCTAAACCACCAAACCCTAGAGCCCTATATAAACCCTAAAAGCCCTAAACCCTCAACCCTAAACCTAAACCCTAAAACCTAAACCCTACACCCTACACCCTACACCCTACACCCTAAACCCTAAACCCTAAACCCTAAACCCTAAACCCTAAACCCTAAACCCTAAACCACCCACAGGTTTCACGCTCCCGGCCTGGCTTTACAGCGCCGCGGTGCCGAGGCACGGCTGGTGAGGGTTTAGGGTTAGGGTTTTGGGTTTCGGGTTTATAGGGTTTCGGGTTTAAAGGGTTTAGGGTTTAGGGTTTAGGTTTAGGGCTTAGGGCTTTTAGGGTTTAGGGTTTCGGGGCTGAGGGACCCAAAGCGGCTCAAGGCTCCATAGCCTAGATTTGGGTTTCGTGGATCCGGGCCGCCGTGGCACTACCCGCGAAGGAGGCCCAACCCTGTTTGAAGTTCAACTACCAGCGAGCAGGGCCAAGTAAGAATGCCCAAAACAACCTGGAACGACCTGAAACCCGCAGCTTACACTCTTTGCAACAATCGCCCTACACCGAAGCCCCCCTGAAATCCCAGATCCTACGTCCCTCGTAGGGGTAGTTACATGGGTAGTTCTCTAAGTTAGGGTGCTTTTCTGGGTGCCCTATATAGTGCGGCACCCTTCAAAACAACAGAATTTATGGAACTACCAAATGGTCCCTGAATCTTGGCCCTCACTTCGGGAAACGTTATATGCCCTGAATCAAGGGCACGTACTTCAGAAGAAACCTTTGAAGAAAGTAAGGGACCAGCTTAATCCCTAAGAGGGTGGTTTAGGGCTTAGTTTGGGTTTAGGGTTTAGGGTTTAGGGTTTAGGGTTTAGGGTTTAGGGTTTAGGGTTTAGGGTTTAGGGTTTAGGGTTTAGGGTTTAGGGTTTAGGGTTTAGGGTTTAGGGTTTCGGGCTTAGGGTTTAGGGTTTAGGGTTTAGGGTTTCAAGGTTTAGGGTTCAGGGCTTCGGGTTTAGGGTTCAGGTTTTGGGGTTTAGGGTTTAGGATGTAAGTGTGAAAAGCAGCTCTCTCTCAGAGGTCGCGGAGTGGACGGATGTTGCCGGGAGCCTCTGGCTGTTCGTAGGGTTTAGTAGGGTTTAGGGTTTAAGGGTTTAGGGTTCAGGGCTTAGGGTTTAGGGTTTAGGGTTTAGGGTTTAGGTTCAGGGCCGTCAAGGGAGCTTGGACCTTTCAGGGGTTTCGTTTTTTTTTTTTTTTTTTTTTTTTTTTTTTTTTTTTTTTTTTTTTTTTTTTTTTTTTTTTTTTTTGTGTGTGTGTGTGTGTTTTTTGTCTTGTTTTTTGGCTTTTTTTGGGGTTCTGGGTTGAGGGTCTAGGGTTTAGGGTTCAGGAAACCCTAAACAGTAAGGGAGCCACAAGTGTGGGAAGTGGTTTGATCTTGTTTTCAGGCAAGTTTCCCGCGCGCACACACACAGAGACACAGACACAAGCTATGTTTGGAAATTTGGGGCCTTCTTGTTCAAGTTGGAGATGGTTGCGGTGGGGGTAGAATGAAAATCCCTTGTATGCTTTCTGGATACTCGATTTGCGCATCCAATCTCTGTTCTTCGTCCTAAGCCCTAGACCCTAGTCCAAAAAACCCTACACCCTAAACCCTAAACCCTAAACCCTAAACCCTAAACCCTAAACCCTAAACCCTGAGCGTTCTGGAAACCTTGCGCCCTGAACCCTTTCTTTCCGAAAATCCTTGGTGAACTTGGATCCTGTACCCTGAAACCCTAAGCCGAAACGTTGACGACCCGAAATCCCTCGGCCTGAAACATCAGGGGTTTAAGGATCAGTTTTAGGTTTAGCACAAGTCCCTGAACCCGTGAAGCCCGAAACCCCTAAACCACCTCAGCCCTAAACCCTAAACCTTGAAACCCTAAACCCAAAACCCTAAGCCCTAAATCCTAAACTTTGAAACCCTAAACCCTAAACCCTAAACCCTAAACCCTAAACCTTGAACCTTGAACCTTGAAACCCTAAACCCTATAGACCCTGAAGCCTGAACGGCGCATGCTCAGGCCCGGTGGGGCTCCGTCAGCACGGGGCGATCCAAGCTCGTCAGGTCCGCAGATGAGGGGACCTGGCTTGGAGGGGTTTAGGGTTTAGGGTTTAGGGTTTAGGGTTTAGGGTTTAGGGTTTAGGGTTTAGGGTTTAGGGGTGGTTTAAGGTTTAGAGGTGGTTTAGGGTTCAGGGCCAGGGCTTAGGGTTTAGGGCTTCGTTTTTGGGTTTTGGGTGGTCGCAAGTTCTAGGAGGTAGGCGGTCCAGGTCTGTACCAAAGCCGTGCTGTTTGCAATACTGCACGGCGAAGGCTTGCACGGTTTAGAGCTTGAGGGTTTAGTGTTTAGGGTTTAGGGTCCGGGCTTTAGGGCCTACGGGTCAGAGGTGGTTGTCCACGGCTTTTTAGATGAGTTCAGATCCTAAGCCCTGAGCCCTGAGCAGGAAACCCACCCACAAACATGGAACGAGACGGCTTGATTCGTCTCAGGCAGACCCTAGCCTGGTTTAGGGTTTAGGGTTTAGGGGTTAGGGTTTAGGGTTTAGGGTTTAGGGTTTAGGGTTTAGGGGTTAGGGTTTAGGGCTTAGGGTTTAGGGTTTAGGGTTTAGGGTTTCGGGAACCCCAGAGCCTTCAAGAACCTCTAGGGCGTAGGGCTCCCTAAGACTTCATTTCGCTGAGCCGTAAACCCTGAACCTCAAGCCCGAAACCCTCAAAGCCCCTAAAGCCTTAGGGTTCGTTTAGGGTCTAAGGGGGTCTAGGGTCTAGGGGTCAGGGTTTAGGGTTTAGGATTAGGGTTTAGGGTGGGTTTAGGGTTTAGGGCCTAGGGTTTAACTTTTATAAGGGCTTGTCTTATAGGGATGTTTAGGGGCTCATGGGGGCTTCTGGAGGTTTGGAGAAGAAAAGCTCCCTGGCAGGTTGCGCTTTGAGAGCAACCGCCCATCGGAATACATGTGTTGGGTTCTTGAGGCAGGATTTTTGGGGGTTCCAAGGCCTTGATTCAGGGATATAGGTCCCCCCCCCGAAACGGCCCCGTACACCCGTCAAACCCCCAACGACCGAACACCCGAACCCTAAACCCTACACCCCCGACCCCCACCCCTGCACCCTGCACCCTGCACCCTGAGCCCTAAACCCTAAACCCAAACCCTAATCCCTAAACCCTATAACCCCTTCGTCTCCAAGGCCATAGCCTGTCCGGAGCCGCCGACAGTGACGTCGGCGGTGGTTTCTGACTGCCGGGGGCGCCTGGCGGTTTTTCAACCCTAAGCCCTAAACCCTAAGCCTTAGACCCGCTTGGGAGTTGAGTATTATAATTCTTTTGAAACAGCTAACTTCCGATTTTTGCTAGGGTTCCAAGTTCAGTAGAAACAGAGCCCAAACCCTATTTTTTTTTTGTTTTGTGTTCATTTGCCAACGGTTTTTTTTTTTGGTTTTTGAAACGTGGGTTCAGGGGGGCCTAGCAATCTGCGGAGGTATTGCTATTGCCTGTTTCGTGGGGTTTAGGGTTTTTTGCCATGCCAACCTGAGGCCACATTCAAACCCTAAACCCTAAACCCTAACCCCTAAACCCTAAACCCTAAACCCTAAACCCTAATGTGGGTGTTGGGCTCTCGTCACGCATTGGGACGGAGTATGACGGGGCCGAGACTCCAGTGCTTCCCTACACCATACCGTACCGGACTCCGGAAATCTGGTCGAAGGAACAGCATTTCGCCACCCCAGCAACAGACTGCTGGGCATTTGGCGCGACATTGCTGGAAATGGTGACCGCGGCTCATTTGTTCGCGGACCTGCACGCCATTATGGACTTCCACTGAACTGATGGGGAAGCGGCAACGACACATCTTTGAAGCGGACTGAACTCTACTCGCCCTGTGCAGGAGTTTAGGGTTTAGGTTTGGAATGTTCCCCCCTATACTCACAGTTCTTAATAGGGATTATGGTATAGGGTACTATAATTCCTGTAAAGGACTGTTAGTATAAGGGGGAACATCCCAAGTTAAGGTTTAAGGTGGGCTCCTCTAGAAGCTAAACCCTAAACCCTAAACCCTAAACCCTAAACCCTAAGCCCTAAGCCCTAAGCCCTATGCCCGAAGCCCGAAGCCCGAAGCCCTAAGCCCAAAGCCCTAAGCCCTAAACCCTAAGCCCTAAGCCCTAAGCCCTACGCCCTACGCCCTACGCCCTAAGCCCTAAACCCTAACCCGAAACCCTAAACGTGACAGACAAAGGCTCCTGTTCACATCCCGGTCTCGCCCCAGGGTTTAGGGTTTAGGGTTGAGGGTTTAGGGTCCGTAAACTCCGCACCCCTACATCCTGAATCCCCGAAGCTTCAACCCTCAACAGCTGCCATTCTACTGGAGTGCGCAGTGTTTGTTGTAGGGTCCTACAGAGGTTTGCAGGAATTTTCAGTGATCCGTCGGGGGTTATGGAAGCTTACAAAGGTTCACATGAGTAGGGCCTAGAAGCCCCAAATCCCTAAATCCTAAACCTTAAACCCCCATCGTGGACAGAAGTGAGGACCGCTTGGCATGCTCAGAATTCCACCACCATGGTGTTTCAATTTGAGGTTTGCAGGGGACTGGGGCTTAGGACCCCCAAACGCTCAACCCTAAACCCTAAACCCTAAACCCTAAACCCTAAACCCTAAACCCTAAACCCTAAACCCTAAACCCTAAACTCCGGACTGTACTTCCAGACGCCGGCCCAGGTCACTCCGAGAACGGCCTCTTCCAGGACGGTTCAGAGCCCACACCCTTATGGAACCCTGAGGCCCTGAGACCCTCGTTTAGGGTGGTTTAGGGTTTAGGGTTTAGGGTTTAGGGTTTAGGGTTTAGGGTTTAGGGTTTAGGGTTTAGGGTTTAGGGTTTAGGGTTTGGGGTCCTAAGTCCCAAGCTTTAAGCCCCCAAACCCTGAAAACCCCTTTCAACCTCAACCTCTCCTCATGTCATCGTGCTTCGGGGAAACGGCGGGGCGAAAAGTTGGTAAACTGGAGTGGAGCCTTGCAGACCACCCCCCCCACCCCCATTGAAAAAATGAAGGGTCCAGGGTTTAGCGGTTGGCGTTTCAGGTTTAGGCTTCAGGGCTTGAGGATTTAGGGTTTCGGGTTCCAAACCCTAAACCCTAAACCCTAAACCCTAAACCCTAAACCCTAAACCCTAAACCCTAAACCCTAAACCCTAAATCCTAAACCCTAAACCCTAAACCCTAAACCCTAAACCCTGCCTTCCCCTTCTTCGGCATGTCCGACTCCGGCGTTCAGGGCCTGTCCCGTGAGCGCAACTTGCATCTAAAAGTAGCTTTTATGGGGTGAGGATGTTCAGTTCTTTTGTGTTTAGGGTTTGGGGTTTAGGGTTCAGGGTTTAGGGTTTAGGATTTAGGGTTTAGGGTTTAGGGTTTTCAGGGATCCCGCCGGGTCCGCCACCACAGGAATACCCCACAGATCCGTCGGCAGGAGTGCCGTGTCGCTTGCAGCGAGGGCCGCGGTACATTGGAGCCGTCCATGCGCTGCGCCAGCCTCTCAGCGCACGATTCGTCATGACACGCAATTGTTTTTATGCGAATAGGAATCTCAAGCCCTAAGCTCGATATGCATCCATGTATGAGAGCATGTAAGGCTCTTGGGACATTTGGTATTTCCCTCTTTGGGTTTAAGAGGATCGTATTCAGGAATATGTTCAGAGGGGTTTAATATTCGCACGATTTACTTGGGGTTCAGGGTTTCTGGGTTTCTTAGCGCTTAAGGCTACTGATCTTCAAAAAACGTCGAGGCTGATACACCTAAGCCCAAAACCCTGAAAACCCTATAACTCTTCGAAGCCCTATAAAACCGTATAAACCCTGCGTATACAAACTTGGGTATAGCAACAGTCCTTAATAGGGATTAGAATAGGGGGTGCTATAATCCCGATTACGGACTGCTAGTATAAGGGCGAGCATCCCAATCCTTGGCCCGAAACCCACGCCAAGCCCCAAAGGGCTCCCTATGAATTTCTGGACCACTCTGGGGCCCAGCATCAGCGGTTCCCCTACTACCCCCCTCTTTTGTACATCCCTAGGCTCCCTCCCGTAGGATAATCAGTCCTTATTAAGGTGATCTAAGAAGGGAACCTAGGGGAGGGTAGTATAGAGGGACCTAGTAGGGAAACCCATGACATTAGGGTTTCGGGGCTTGGAGCGTTTTAATCAGGCCACTGGAGCCAGGCCATGCGCAGAAACCGTCAGCCCTTAAGACTCTTCTGTTTAGGAACTTGCTTCCAGGTAACCCTGAAGTCCAAACCCTTGCCCTAAACCCGGAACCCAAAACCCTAAACTCTAAACCCTTACCCCTTAAACCCTAAACCCTAAACCCTTACCCTAAACCCTGAACCCAAAACCCTAAACCCTAAACCCTAATCCAGTGACGTTGAGGTCAACGGCGCTTGGTTTGTGCCGCAGTGCTGGCCGCTAGGTGCCACCTAGCTTCGGCGATGACGGTCAAGTGTTCAAGGGTTTCCCTAAACCCTAAACCCTAAACCCTAAACCCTAAACCCTAAACCCTAAACCCTAAACCCTAAACCCTAAACCCTAAACCCTAAACCCTAAACCCTAAACCCTAAAGCCTGGATGTGTCGGGCGCTTCTAGGGCATACTGGGCTTCTCGTGTTCAGCACGAAGTGTCTCCCCAGCCTACCACACGTGTGTTGATTTCCCTTAACCCTAAAGATCCCCAAGCCGCTCTCAAAAGCCTTAAACCCTAAACCCTAAACCCTAAACCCTAAACCCTAAACCCTAAACCCTAAGCCCTAAATCCTAAACCCTAAGCCCTAAACCCTAAACCCGAAGCCCTAAACCCTAAACCGTAAACCCTAAACCCTAAACCAGACGCCTGAGTGGGAGGCTCTCTGGTGCGAGTGGTGCTGGACGAGCCCCAGCGACTGAAACCCTACTGGGTTGTGGGGGAGCCCAGTGCATCCGCAGGCGCGGCTTAGGGTTTAGGGTTTAGGGTTTGGGGTTTGGGGTTTAGGGTTTAGGGTTTTGGGTTTAGGGTTTAGGGTTGAGCGTTCAGGGTTTAGGGTTTTGGGTTTAGGGTTTAGGGTTTAGGGTTTATGGTTTAGGGTTCAATTTTTTGGATTTTGGGTTTAGGGTTAGGGTGTAGGGTGTAGGGTTTAGGGTGGGTTTATCCTGAAGCCTAAGCCCTAAGCCCCAAAACGCAGGATACGGTCACTTCTCTAACCCAAAGGGTCCTAAGTACCTATATAGTAGAAAGTAGGGTTTCTATAGTAGGAATTACTATTATGTTTTGGGTAAGTGTCCCCCATATAGGTACTTAGGACCCTTTGGGTTAGTCTGGCCCCCCTTTGGAGCTACCATGCTAAGGCGGCCCCCCGACTTTTTGAGGCACCGAAAAGGGTTTAGGGTTTAGGGTTTAGGGTTTAGGGTTTAGGGTTATTTGGAGAACTGACCACATAGTACAAAAGTACTGGTTCCTTACCTTCTTTTTGGAACCCTAAGCCCTAAACCAGCCCAGCGCAGACCTTCAGCCCTAAAACCCTAAACCCCAAACCCTAAACCCTAAACCCTAAGCCCTAAACCCTAAACCCTAAACCCTAAACCCCAAACCCCAAACCCCAAACCCTAAACCCCAAACCCTAAACCCTAAACCCCAAACCCCAAACCCTAAACCCCAAACCCTAAACCCTAAACCACCTCAATTTTTCAGGTGCTCGACGCCGGCCTCTTCGCTTCCGACGATTGCAGCGAGCCGATCAAGATGGACTGCCAGGGTTTGAGGGTTTAGGGTTTAGGGTTTAGGGTTTTAGGGTTTTGGGGTTTTAGGGTTTTAGGGTTTTAGGGTTTTGGGGTTTTAGGGTTTAGGGTTTTAGGGTTTTTGGGGTTTTGGGGTTTTAGGGTTTTAGGGTTTAGGGTTTTTGGGGTTTTAGGGTTTTAGGGTTTAGGGTTTTTAGGGTTTTAGGGTTCTAGGGTTGTAGGGTTTTTAGGGTTTTAGGGTTTTAGGGTTTTAGGATTTTAGGGTTTTAGGGTTTTAGGGTTTTAGGGTTTTAGGGTTTTGGGGTTTTGGGGTTTTGGGGTTTTGGGGTTTTGCGGTTTTAGGGTTCTAGGGTTTAGGGTTTTTAGGGTTTTAGGGTTTTGGGGTTTTAGGGTTTTGGGGTTTTGGGGTTTTAGGGTTTTAGGGTTTTAGGGTTTTAGGGTTTTAGGGTTTAGGGTTTTGGGGTTTAGGGTTTTAGGGTTTTAGGGTTTTAGGGTTTAGGGTTTTAGGGTTTTAGGGTTTTAGGGTTTTAGGGTTTTTAGGGTTTTAGGGTTTTAGGGTTTTTAGGGTTTTAGGGTGTTAGGGTTTTAGGGTTTCAGGGTTTTAGGGTTTTAGGGTTTTGGGGTTTTAGGGTTTAGGGTTTTGGGGTTGTAGGGTTTTAGGGTTTTGGGTTTTTTAGGGTTTTAGGGTTTTAGGGTTTTAGGGTTTTGGGGTTTTTGGGTTTTGGGGTTCTAGGGTTGTAGGGTTTTGGGGTTTTAGGGTTAGGGTTTTAGGGTTTTAGGGTTTTAGGGTTTTAGGGTTTTAGGGTTTTAGGGTTTTAGGGTTTTAGGGTTTTAGGGTTTTAGGGTTTTAGGGTTTTAGGGTTTTAGGGTTTTAGGGTTTTAGGGTTTTAGGGTTTTAGGGTATTAGGGTTTTAGGGTTTTAGGGTTTTAGGGTTTTAGGGTTTTAGGGTTTTAGGGTTTTAGGGTTTTAGGGTTTTAGGGTTTTTGTTTTTTTTGGGTTTTTTTTGGGTTTTAGGGTTCTAGGGTTTAGGGGTTTTAGGGTTTTTGGGGTTTTAGGGTTTTAGGGTTTTTGGGGTTTTAGGGTTTTAGGGTTTAGGGTTTTGGGGTTTGAGGGTTTTAGGGTTTTAGGGTTTCGGGTTTAGGGCTTAGGGTTTAGGGCTTAGGGCTGGATTTAGGGTTTTAGGGCATGGTTTTTGGCGGGGCTACTCAACATTGTCGGTAGCCCAGCGGTGCCTTTTTCCCTTTTGTGGGGTTCAAGTTTCCTTAGAAAGTACCCAACCCAAGAAAGGGTACCCTTGTTAGAATCTAGCCACTGGTCTACCAAGCATTGTGTTAAAAACCGTTTCCGTCGCAACGTATGCTGCCCCCAGAAACCCTAAACCCTAATTCTTGCTGCTTTTGGTCTAGACTGCTTGAGACTTAGGCCCTAGACTGCACTAGGACCCAGACTAGGCCCTTATTTTCATTTTTTGTGGGTTAAGGTTCCCTGAAAAAAACGCTATAAACAAAAACGGACAGTCTTTCTATTCCTAGCGTACTTACTGGGTCGAGTGTATGTGGTGATTAAGTGTTTCTGGTTCACTGTGTGTTTCAGCTTTGGGCATCCTAGGGCTGTTTTGTGCTTGTGGTCGGGCGCCCATTTGCGTTTTAGCCTTTTTGGGGTCGGTAGCACTCGCCACTATACATGGTGATCTGCGCAGAAACGGATCATGTTTTGGCTCGAAGCTACTCTGAAACCCTAATGTTATGGGGTTCTTGAGGGAGGGGGGATTCAAGGGGGGTGGGTACCTAGGAACCTTCGGGAAGATTAGGAAGTCTTAGGGAGGAGTGGGGAGTATTAGGGAACCTTGGGTTACATACCCTCCCCCCCTTCAAGAATCCTTCAGTAATGCCTTGCACTGCCACCTCAGCGAGCTCCGATTTTTTGGGCTTTAGGGTTTAACGCAGAGAGCTGGATTTGACAAGTTGTTGGTTCGACCTTGCTTCGCAAATGCTGTTTCGGGTTGTACGCGTAGTTCCTTTATTGGTTCTTGAGCTAAGTGTCTCGTGCAGGCGGGGACTTTCCGCATACAGGTACATTCCACAGCATCACTAGATGCACTTGCACACACATTTTTACGTTTTTTCCCCATTTACGACATTTATGACATTTACGTTTAGCACTTGCATGCATGTAGGAAGAAGTTAGGTCATCTTGCCTCATTTTTTTACTGGCGTCTCAGATCTTTGTGTTGTAGCGTCGTTTTCCGCTGTTCTTCTGCTTATTTTTCCTCAGCGATGCTGTTGCTCTCTACTGTCATTTCGTGTGTTGAGGTTGCAGCATATTCAAACTGGTTGCTGACAGGTCTGATCTTGACTTCATTCGCGTCGTTGGGGATGTGATTTCGTGTTGTTCGCGATGCGATTGTTTTCCACGCTGGAAGAACATGTTATGTCTCCTGTGTGGTGTGGTATCGCTCGTGGAACTGGTTCGTCTCTCAGTTGTCAACCTACGGATTTGGGTGACGCCGAGTCTGCTCCTGCCGAGTCCATGTCTCATTTTTTGGAAGCTGTATTGACAATCAATCTTGACTCTTGACTGTATGCTTCCTTGTTGTTTCTTTGTGCCCTGGCATGTTTGTCAGGAGTGTAAGGTCGTCGGCACGTTCCTTGCATCGTGGGGTGTAGTTGTCAGGTCGTGTGATCAAAACCGCGATGTTGTGGACAGACTGCAGCGGTTGTGAGGGTTTTCGGGTTTAGGGCTTAGGGTATCGAGGGGCCAACAATCCCCATTCACTTCGCTCATAGAATTACAGTATTTTGCAATCCTGTGTCCGCGAGCTCATCGCATTCACTTCTTTCACGGGCTTACAGTTCAAAACCCCTAACCCTCAACCCTAAACCCCAAACCCTAAACCCGAGAACCCTAAACCCTAAGCCCTAAACCCGAGAACCCTAAACCCTAAACCCTAAACCCTAAACCCTAAACCCTAAACCCTAAACCCCAAACCCCAAACCCTGGTTGGCAGGACGGCGTGGCCATCAGCTCCGGGGAGTTCGTCATTAAGCCGCTCTGGCAGTTTGGGGGGGGGGTTTAGGGTTTAGGATTTAGGATTTAGGATTTAAGGTTTTCATGGGGTTTGTAGGGCATTGTAGGGTTTAAGGTTTAGGATTTAAGGCTTTCAGGGTTTTTAGGATTGAAGGTTTTCAGGGTTTTTAGGGTTTAGGGTTTTTCGGCTCTGGGCTTTTCAGGGTTGAGGGTTTCCAGGCTTTTTTGTTTTTGGGTTTGGGGTTTTGAGGGTTTGGGGTTTTAGGGTTTCGGGTTGTTGGGGTTTACGGATTTTAGGGTTTTGGGTGTTTAGGGGGGGGGGGTTAGGGTTTGGGGTTTGGGGTTTGGGGTTTAGGGTTTAGGGTTTAGGGTTTAGGGTTTAGGGTTTAGGGTTTAGGGTTTAGGGTTTAGGGCTGAGAGTCGAGGCATGAGGGCTGCAGGAGCTTAAGCAGGGTAGCCATTTGTTCCTTGCAAGCCGTTGCCCTGCGAGTACAAAACCTGAAGCCCCAAACCCCAAACCCCAAACCCTAAACCCTAAACCCTAAACCCTAAACCCTAATAGTACAAAACAGTACCAAACCTGAAGCCCTAGGACCAAGTTCCCGACTCTGCAGAAATAGGCGCCCATGTGATTGGGCTTAGGGTTGATGCCGGGTTTAGGGCTTAGGGCTCAGGGGTCCCTAAAAGCCTGAACCCTAAATGCCAAGACAAAGCCTGGTCCAGCTGCCGAGCCGAGGCCTGAAGATGCAGCTGAAAAGGTGACGAGCTCGAGTTCTTCCTCTTCGAGCTCTTTAAGGTTTAGGGTTTAGGGTTTAGGGTTTAGGGTTTAGGTTTGGCCGCACTGGCGGCCAGAGACGCGCAGGAGGTGGCGCGCGACCTGGCGGAGGAGGAGGAGGAACTCCGCAGGCGGGCGGCAAAGGCCGAGCGGGAGGAGGAGGACCCAAAGAGCCCAATATTGCTTAATTAAGGAACACTCCTTAACTCATATTAAGGATCCCTATATGATTTAAGGCATATTCCTTAATTAAGCAATATTGGGCTCTTTGGGGAGCGGGCCCGCGACGCGCTGCGGGTCGGCAGGGGGCGGGAGGTGGCGGGATTAGGGTTTGGGGTTTAGGGTTAGAGGGTTTGGGGTTTAGGGTTTACAAGACCCCCCTAGAGTTCCACAGCACCAGCCCTATTCAGTTGGAAGGTTTTTTGTGTTTCATGTATATGGGCATGAGAAGGGGAGGGTATTTGTGATTATGTTGCAGACATCGCTCTGAAGCGCCTTAGGCCCGAAGCCCTCAACACTCGTTGCAGAAATCAGATGCAATACCTAAACCCTCAACCGTGCCCAGATGGATGAGACTCAAAAACCCTAAACCCTAAACCCTAAAGCCTACACCCTAAACCCTAAACCCGAAACCCTAAACCTTAAACCCCAAGCCCCAAGAGTCCCCTCCCAAAAGGTTGAAAGGGCAGAGCCATAGTTTAGGGTTTAGGGTTTAGTGTTTAGGGTTTAGGGTTTAGGGTTTAGCGTTTAGCCCGGAACCCTGCTATCATGATCTCTAAACCCCTCAACCCTGCGAATGTCATTTTTTAGCTGCCGGGTTGGGGTTTAGGGCTACGGTTTAGTCAGATCCAGTGGTGAAGGGAACAGATGGGTGTTGATCATAGTTCTGGACCCGTCTTGGGTACACAACACCTGCCAGGAACCCTCCCCACACCCTACATTCTAAACAGAGCCACTGAACCCCAATAATGAACCCTGGGCCCTGAACCCATAAATGCCACACGCACCTGCCAAGGTATGCGAACTATCACCCAAAGCGCCTCAGCCTGTTCAGTGAGTAGGCCTTGGGTTGGACGGTTGGTTTAGGTAGGCCTTGGGTTGGCATGCTCAAATGAAGCAGCTTTGCACACCTCCTAAACCCTAAACCCTAAACCCATCTAAACCCTAAACCCTAAACCCTAAACACTAAACCCTAAACCCTAAACCCTGCACCCCAAACCCTAAACTCTGAACCCTGGACCCTAAACCCCCCTTGTTGTTGTGCTGGATCTCTTGAACTCATGTGCGAGCTGGGGGGCTGACCCGCCGCTTGCAAACCCAATTAGTGAAGGACGAAGTAGTACCCCACCCATCCCTTTCTGAAGGGCCAGGGCCCCCGAAAAGCTCAGGGTTTAGGGTTTAGGGTTTAGGGTTTAGGGTTTAGGGTTTAGGGTTTGGGGTTTAGGGAGCCCTAAACCCTCAGGCCATACTTGTGTTTCTAAGTTTGTTGGGAAACTTATAGCTGAAGACAAGGACTGGATCGAAGGCTTTGGGGCCTTTGTTAGGGGAGCCGCATGGGGTCTACTTCCCAGCCAAGGCTTTGCTGCCAGATGTTTGGGTTTCCCTAAGCCCTAAACCCTAAACCCTAAACCCTAAACCCTAAACCCTAAACCCTAAACCCTAAACCCTAAACCCTAAACCCTACACCCTGAACCCTGAACCCTAAACCCTAAATCTTAAACCCTAAACCCAGGGTTATACCTAGGGTTATGGGGTTGAGGGTTTTGTTGAAGTTCCAGGCCTTGGGCTTCTAACTTTTGCAGGAGACCCTGCCGGGTACTGGTAGAGGTGCCAAGATCCCCTCCCAGTGGAAGGAGACCACGCTCATAAGAGGCAGGGTTTATGTGACTGTTATTCGTGAGTGTATACAGGGGTCATAATTATGCATACCCTAAACCCTAAACCCTAAACCCTAAACCCTAAACCCTAAACCCTAAACCCTAAACCCTAAACCCTAAACCGAATAAACTTGGGTGTCCCTTTGAGGCTACTAGCTTCATACGCGATCGAAGGAGGCCCGAATTCCCAAACCGTAATTATGCGGCAGTACAAGGCCCTAAGCCCATAAATCCTTGTATACAGCCCTACACCCCAAACGCATAAAGCCCTAATCCCTGAGCCGTAAACCGTAAACCCAAACCCTAAACCCTAAACCCTAAGCCCCTACATCCTTTGCGTACGCCCGGGCTAAAGTCCCATGTTCTCTGCCAAGGAATGCATGGGACAACGATCCCTCAACCTCTTGGGCCTCCAAAGGCAGAGGGGGTTTTGGGGTTTAGGGTTTAGGGTTTGGGGTTGGGGGTTAAGTGTTAGGGGTTAAGGGTGTAGGGGTTTGGGGTTTCGGGTTTAGGGTTTGGGGTTTAGGGTTTGGGGTTTCGGGTTTGGGGTATGGGCCATGGGGTTTAGGGTTTAGGGTTAGGGTTAAGGGTTCGGGGTTTAGGGTTTACGGTTTCGGGTTCAGGGTTTCGGGTTTGGGGTTTGGGGTTTGGGGTTTAGGGTCGAGGGTTTGGGGTTTAGTGTTTAGGGTCTAGGGTGCAGGGGTGTAGGGCTCAGAGTTTGGGGTTTGGGGTTGAGGGTTAAGGGTTTAGGGTTTACGGTCTACTGGGTGCCTGTTCGTAGGGAAAGTTGGAATTAGGTTCCTGTACGACTTCGACGGTTCCCTAAACCCCAAATCCTAAACCCTAAACCTTAAACCCCAAATCCTAAACCCTATATCGGGCCAGGGCATTCGGGGTGAGGGCTTCAGAGGAACAGGGCTTTAGGGTTTAAGGCTTCAGGGGCGTGGGGGCTTCAGAGGTTTGGGGTTTTCGGAGTTTAGGAGTTTATAGGGTTTAGGATGTAGGGTTTAGAGGTTTAGGGTTTAGGGCGAGCTGGGGTATTCGCTTTTGCGAAGTGGCCCGGCAAGCACAGACTCCAGCAAGGGTTCAGGATTTCGATATGAGGCCGTCTTCCCGGAAGTTTTGCAAACCCTGTCCTGCCCCAAAACCCGGAACCCTGGAAGCCTAAACCCTAAACCCTAAACCCTAAACCCTAAACCCTAAACCCCAAACCCCAAGCCCTAAACCCCACTTGCTCGCGCCGGCAGCGGAGGCATCTGCGAAGCTGGGGGCGGATGTTGGATCGGTTTCAGGCCCCGTGCTCAAGCTTTTGCACCTTCCAGGGTTTAGGGTTCAGGATTTAGGGTTTAGGGTTCAGGCTTCAGGGTTTAGGGTTTAGGCTTACTGTTTGCTTAAGAACCCTTCCAGGACTACAGATAATAATCCCTGTATTGCCCTTATGTGGAAGAAAGTGTTTTTGGGCTTTGCCCGAAATGGTATACCCGAGATTTCAAGTGTAACCCCTCAGCCCAAAACCAGAGTCCGTACATCCCTAAGCTTCTAAGCCTTAAGCCTCTGAACTCCCCCCTCCCCCAGGTTTTAGCTCCTAAGCCCTAAACCCTAAACCGTAAGCCCTTAAATCCCCAAATCTTCAAAGCCCCGGACCTTGCACCTGTCAACCCTAAACCCTCTAATCCCGAACCCGGTTTAGGGTTTCGGGTTTCCTTGTGCACCGAAAGCCTGAACCCCGAAACCCTCCTTTTCTGAAACCCTAAACCCGAAACCCTAAACCCTAAACCCTAAACCCCGACGCCAAGAGGTTCCACTCCAACCCCGGGCGCATCCGTTGCATCTCCCTGCTCCACCCGCCGGGCAAGCAGTACCAGGCCCGTAATATAGGGGCCTTAAAGGCTTTCGGGTTGAGGGCTTAGGGTTTAGGATTTAAACGGGTTTGGGGCCTTAATAATTAGAATAGGGCTTTGGGGGATATTGTGGTACAAATAATCGGGACCATAAGACAACACTTTTAGTACTTATAATTATTCCGACACCTGGATTATCCTTCTCTTGACACAAACCTTAATCCCTAAATCCTAAATCTACCGGGGCCGTCGCCTACAACCGGCCACGCCCAAAGCAGACAAGGACTTATCCACATGTACTTGGTTCATTCTCTCTCTCTCTCTATACATATATATATATATGTATGCATGGGTCTCTCGCTCTCTCTGTCTCTCTCTCCTCTCTCTCTCTCTCACCTCGCTCTCTTTCTCTCGCTCTCGCTCTCTCTGTTTATTACCTTTCCCTTTCTTTATCTTTCTCTTTCTGTCGCTCGTTCTCTCCGTCTCTCTCGCTCTCTCAACCCGAAGCACGTAATGATGCAATCC